AGGTGGAGGCTGCAATGAGCCATGATTGCACCACTGCACTCTGGCCTGAACAACAGAGTGAGACCGTGCCTTTAAAAAAAAAAAAAAAAAAAAAAGACTTGAATACTACTTCATAATTTTGTATCCTTAGAAATGTGTTCACATTATCCGGAGCAAGAATTGTTCTTACTGTAGTTGAAGAATGACAGCCCACGTTACTAAAAAAAAAAAAAAAAAAATCAAATGATTTCAGCCAGCTTTTCCCATGACATATTGCCTCATAGTTACTGCCAGGTAGTGGCTTTTGGCAAAGTCCAAGTTTCTAAGAGTGGGGCTAGTAAAATTTAAAATACCTTTGGCAGTGTTTCTTAAAATAATGGGTCCATATGATACAAATTACATTTGTTCAAATGAAAAGATTTTGCTAACCTTTGTGGTAAGGCAGTCTTTGAAGAGAGTATTTTGCTAGTGATACTAAATCAATGATTAATTGCAGAATATTGATCCTGTTCAAGATCTTCATTAGTTGGCCTTGCAGTTTACATAGAAAGGACCAAAAGTTGGTAGGCCTTGGACATTAGGCCTTGCTGGACTGATCAGCAGTGGCTGACCCAGCCATGGTAGCGGCTGATGGGACAGGCAGTGGCTGAAGGAGTGAATTACTCTGTTGCTGTAACCCTGGGAACCCAAGCTTTGATACAAAGATTCTGAACAATTTAAGTATTTTCCCTAAAGAACACGTTAAGACGCACCATTATTTTTGTTTTTAAGGTAACTACGTCAACATATGCTTAAAGGGAATTCTTATATTTGGGGTTTGCTGGGGGGTTTCAGTTTCTTTACAGTCTGCAGTGAATTATCGTTTTAACTCTGTGCCGTTTTCATAAAAGCATTTTACATTGTACTGAAAAGATTACATTCTTTTGGCTTTGGAAAAATATTTCCTGTTCAGTTCAAGCCATTAAAGCCTGTTAGCATTTCACATCTGGAAGCCTGTGCCTCCCGTCACCAGTGGAGCGAGTGTGGCCGCCTGGCTGGGCCCCCAGCGCCTGCGTAAAGCCCCGGACTTGTTTACTTCCCAAAGCTCAGCCTTGCGGGTTTTCGGGGAGTGAAGGGGTTGTGAGCGGGGGAGAGGCACTTCCTTGCTCCCAGGGCAGGGCAGGGCAGGGGTGGGTGTGTGTGTGTGTGTGTGTGTGTGTGTGTGTGTGTTCATTCTTCCTGGGATGGAGATGGAGGGGTCTTCCTCTCGGGTAATGAGGAGGGTTTCTTTCGCCCGGAGTGGGGAGGGGAATCTTTCTTCCTAGTGAGTGTTGCATCCTCCCTCCCCTCATGCCTTAAGCAGCTCCTATTTTTCACTCCCACCCAGTTTTCCAGAAAGCCAACCCAAACATTCTCCGTATGAGAGGGAAGTATCCCTCAGGGAAGAGAATTCATTTGAACAAAAAACGCTGGGCAGCCTGGGGCCTTAGTGTGGGTTGGAGCTGCAGGCCTCAGTCTGGTGCCCCTTGTCACCAGGCTGCGTTGAGGGACGGCCCGGGAGAGGTGGCCCTGGCGCCTGCTCTGTGGCTGTTTTTCCTGGGAACACAGGGGACTGCATCCTGCTTTCGGTCTTTAAAAGGGAACCAAGCCTCTGGGTGCCGCGTTACGTTGTGAGCATTAAGCTCTCCCCCAGTTCGCTGTGGTCTGGGAGGGTTAATTTATGTGGCCTCTGGGACCCTGCTCTCCGGAGGTGGGCCTGATGCTGCCCCCACTCTCAGGATCATTGAGCTGGGCTGTGTCTGCTGATCCTGGTGGCTTCAGTGCTGAGAACACTCCCCCAGGGACCTGTCCCTGTGGCCTCTTGGCTGCCCAGGCACTAGAGCTCTGGGGCAGTGGGTGCCCTGGGACAGAGCCCACTGAATTCTTTGAGGGAGTTTGACAGCCCCCGCAGCAAAACCTGCAGGGGAAACGATTTCATGGTGTGGAAGGAGCAAAACGTTCATTGCATTTCTCCTGATCACATGTGACCAGAAATGATGCCAAGCAACCCTAGGCTTCCTGCGAGAATCAGGCAGGACCCTGAGCACCCAGGCCTCAGACCTGATGGCCCTGGGTGAGGCACCCCCCTCCCTGCAAACCAAATGACCACAGTGTCTTTGCACTCCCCTGGCAGGAGGTCAGTTCACAAGGGGCCACGGTCAGCGTCTTCATGGGGCTGGTTAATCAAGCTCTTCGGTTGAACTTGCAACCTTGCTGTAGGAGACGGGTGGTCCAGATCTGACAAACATCTTTCCCAGAACACAGGGCCAGCGACAGAGAGTGAAAATCAAGGTCAGATCTCTCCTTGCCCCTTAACGCTGGAGTTCCTGGGTGTGTTTTGAGAAAGGTAGCTATTGAAGTTGGTTTCCATGGGAGGAGCATGCAGCATGCATGCAGGCCCCAGGGTGGAGGCAGCCCTCTCTCCAGTTTGTTTTTCTTAATTTCTTTGAACATTCAGTGAATCTTTTTTCAGACTTGTGGGAAGCCACTTGCCCAGTGAGTTGAAATGAATAGCAGTTTCAACAGAGAGCTTAGCTGAACAACCACCCAAATGGACTAAATGCTTTGTATGGGAAAAGCATAGGAAGGGGTCTTCATGGTGGGCTGGGGAGGGGAGGGAAGCTGTGTTGTACTTGGCATGCCCCAGCTCCTCTCATTGTTGTGAGATGGGGAGTGACCACTTTGAGACAGAGTTAAGGTGTGAGTTAGGGAGTCCTGCAAGACAGAGGATGTGGCCCACATGTGCTCATCCTATCCTAGGCTGAACACAGGACTCAGTGTCCCCCAGAGTCCTTACCCTTGTGTTTTAGGGCTCCAGGAGAGAGCTGGCTGCATTTGAGATGGGCCTTGAGGATGGAGAGACAGAGAGAGCCCTGCAGCGGAGGGCATAGGGCACCCTGGGTACTGCAGGGGAGGGACCTGGGATTTTTTTTTTTTTTTTTTTTTTAAAGACAGTTTCACTCTTGTCGCCCAGGGTAGAGTGCAGTGGTACGATCTCAACTCACTGCACCCTCTGCCTCCCGGGCTCAAATGATTCTCCTGCCTCGGCCTCCTGAGTAGCTGGGACTATAGGCGCCTGGCACCATGCCCAGCTAATTTTTGTATTTTTAGTAGAAATGAGATTTCACCATGTTGGTCAGGCTGGTCTCGAACTCCAGGCCTCAGGTAATCCACCCACCTCGGCCTCCCAAAGTGCTGTGATTACAGGCATGAGCCACTATACCTGGCCTGACCTGGGACTTTTAAATGGCATTTGAGCTTGGTAAAGGGGACTGTTTTGATCGGGTCGGTAGCCCCATCTGAATGTTTTACACAGATTTCGAAATCGGATAGACCTGGGCTTATGCCCCAGTGCTGTCCCCT